GATTTCTCAATGTTTCAAGTTGGGCAATCCTGTCCTCTTTCTGCAAGTCCTTTAACTTTCATAGAACAGAACATTGCTCTCATGTAGAGCCTCTGTCCCTTTCCAGTGTGTTCCACTGGGATGCTCCAGCTCTTCCAGCAGGCCAGTGAATAAGAAATCCATTGTTTCATAAAGGTGGGCAGTCTTCTCTGTAAGCTGGTCACTTGTGCGGTTGCTCAGGAGAAATTCAGATGCCCCCCATTTGACTAGGAAAGTGCTCACAGATAGGTTTTGTATTTCTACACATGCACGTGCCTTGGTGCATGTGCCTTGGTGCATTTATTCTGCACATGGGAAAGATTAGCGGGAACATTGGTAGTAGGCCTGTGGTTGAGCCATTCAGAGTGGATATCTCAGATGATTGACAGGCCTTTGAGAGAGACTGATATCGTACCAGAATAGGACACTGTTTGGAATGCATTTCAGCATAATACAAAGTAGAATTCATAATTTGGTACGGATATATCCCACTTTGTCAAAATGACTACTTGATTATCACCCCTAAAACTCAATAATATAAATAAAGTTGCTCCATACGTTAGTCTTAGCATCTTCAGACTCAAGTATTACACTCATATTTGGAAGTTTGTCTCTATTCAGAATAAACAATTCTTTTTTTTCCCCAGAATTAAAGCTTCAGTTTTCCATAACACAAACACTGGAAATGCTCAATCATCAGAGACCATAAATGTTTGGAGTTTTTTACTTTTGGCATTGGTTATAAAAAGCCATGTTACACCAACCATAACAAAACATTTGTCACAATACCACAGTCACAGAGTACTGCTAGGGAAGTGTTTTCTGAAACAGAAAACTATCAAGTGTTCCTTGGCTTTTGAGATGATTGGACATACTTTATATGTAAAACTTGAGTTCTAGAGGGAATTACATTTTGTAATGGTGCTCAGCTTCTATATTTCACAGACTAAGCTGCAATGATAGAACCCTCAACCAATCTAACATCAGAATTATAAATCAGATATGGTGTAATGTGTTGTGGTGCAATATTGCATTCTGGAACATGAGCTTATGAGTCTGTTCAGCACTGTAGCTACATAGACTTCAAGGACAAGGTGATCACAAATACTATTATAGAATACTTTCTAAAGCTTACTGTTGGGGGTATGACTTTTTTATTTATCTTGCAGGAAATTGTATTTTGTGTAAATTGAATCTTAAATGCCTTTTCCTTTCTATATAGGATCAACCAATGGGAGGTTGGGAGATGATCAGAAAAATAGGCGACACTTCTGTCAGTTACAAATATACCTCAAGATATGTACTAAAGGCAGGCCAGACTGTTACAGTAAGTGAAATTAGCTTTGAAATTAGCTTTGATAAAGATATGAAACTGTGTGTTTGAAAGAAATACAAACATAAATAGGATAATGAGTCTTCGGTTTGAGGCATCTTGTTTTCAGAACATTTAAATAGTGCTAGCACCTGTATTGATATCATGTGCACGTTGAGCTTTGACCATGCACTTGCACATGAAGATATATACGCTTAAACCATCCAATCTGCATGTACAAAAGTGGGCTTATTTACACTAGTAAAACAGTATAAATGTGCAGAGCCTTCACTTTTAATAGGGATACATTCACCTTGTTTTCATACCTAACCCCTTTTCTCACATGCTAGCTGTAACCACAAATGTATTGTGTGACTGAGACTCATGTCATTCAGTTGTCTGTATGACTTCTTTCTCTTCCAGGTCTGGGCTGCAAATGCTGGAGTAACTGCCAGCCCCCCCTCTGACCTCATCTGGAAGAACCAGAACTCTTGGGGCACTGGCAAAGATGTGAAAGTTATATTGAAAAACTCTCAGGGAGAGGTAAAGTAGATTAGATATAATTAAACTTTCCTCTTAATTTGTCTGTCCAGTGAGAAGTCTTAAGTGTTGGACAGAAGTTGCCTCAATATAGAAGCATTTCAAAAAATGTTTGAAGATAGTTTTAAGACAGATTTCCTAGTAAGTTTGGTCTTAATGCTTGCCTCCTGGCACTATAGTGAAGCATTTTTTACTTTCTGCTTGAAATAAATCTCTACCATCTTCCAAAAAAACCCCAAACTCAGTAGCTTTGCTTATAAATGCAGTCCTCTGAATCATACAAGGCTATTCAGCTGAACATAGCTTCTCTTCTAATAAAATATTTATTGTAGGTCTGGTAAGGTGCAAGATATTGGAACTTTGGAAACACTGAACATGATCAGTTAGCTTTCAGTGAGGGAGGAAAAAATTCTTAGAGCAGGAAATGTCTAAAGGAAAACTTAGACCAAGGTCCAAAGCCACCTGAGGAACTTAACCAAAAAAACCACACACACATTTCCTAGTATGTGTTGCTAATGTGCTTAGTACAGGCATTTGAATAAAGTAGATGAGCAAGCAGAAATTCTTTGTTTCAGGTTGGAGCCATAATGGCACTTTGATTAGGAGCATCAGGTCTCTAGACTTAGAAAGTGGTGTTAGATAATAAAAAATAACTCTTATTGTAGGAGGTAGCTCAGAGAACTACTGTCTTCAAAACAACTTTACATGAAGGTGAAGAGGAAGAAGTTGAGGAAGAAGCAGTTGAAGCAATTGAGGAGGAGGATCTTTTCCACCAGCAGGTATTTTTTTTAAGGGATGGTTAATCTAATTTTTGCTTTAAAAGATGAGGCCGAGTGCATAGGCACTAAATTTAGGAAAAATTTCAGCCCGAACTCATAACCAGAACACCAGTATAGAGGCATAAGTTAGTGCACAAAAGATAATTCAGAATATGATATATTACTGTAAAGAAAACTGACTGCTGTTGGAAAGACTTTCAGTTGACAGTCTGTGATTGAAACCCAAGTCTCATAATATTATTTATGGATTTCTGATGCTAATTTTTGTTGAACTGTTGGACCTTCCTGGTCTGGCACCCTCAGGATTTGAGTGGTCCTGAACGAGGGGATATACCAGACCAGGGAAGGTCCCTCCCCTCCTGGCCTAAGCTGCCACCGGTTTAGGGCTCCAGCCTGCCCCTGCTGCTGCCCCAGTCTCCCCATGGCTCTCTTCATTGCTGCCGGGATGGGAAGCTGGGGCCAAGGCTGGAGCTACGCAGCACCTGCTCTGCGGCCGGGGGCAGAGCTCAGCAGCCGCCTAGGTCCATGGCTGGGGCTGGAGTTCCACAGAAGTTTCTGCAGCCAGAACTCCGTGCCGTGCTGCCCATTCTTCCCTCCCTCCCTCTCCTGGGATTGCTGGTGCCCCCCAACATGCTCCTGCTCCATTGCTAGACCTTCCTTTTCCTGGGCTCTGTCATCCAGGAACATCCGTGAACTATGCTGCATCACGGATGTTGCTGGACCAGGGAGTCCTGTTTAAAGGAGGTATAACCAGTATGCCATTATTTGCACAATTCAGTTTCTGGGACTCTCTTATTGAGTACTTTAAAGTCCTTAATTTTAAGAGAATATAGCTATATCTTTTTACTCAGTTTGGAAAAACTAACCAAATATCTACCTTCACATTCCATAATAATAATTATTATTATTCTAACACTTGTCTTTTACTGGCTTCCTTCTTTCACTGCCTCCCCAAGGAGAGGATCCCTATCATTACTCTGTTTACACAGTTGTTCAGTTAATGTTCCCTAGTAATGACTGACTTTGTCTTAGACTATGCAAAGTATCATGTATTAAAGTGCTGAACCTTCTACTCTAGGACTTGTGTTTTGCAGAGCTAATTTTCCCTATTCCTAACAGGGAGACCCCAGGGCAGCTAACAGAAGCTGTGCAATCATGTGAATTTCTTCAGTCAACCAGCTTCCTCAAATTATGGTAATCCTTTCCTATAGAGCAGAGCCTTCTCAGAAGCACAATATTTTTGTATTTCTTTTATGTGAATTTTTAAGCTTCAAGTCTGATGGCCTTAATTTCCTTTGTCACAGAAAAGAAATTTTTTGTAAAGAAACCATATCTGTAACTCTCATACAAGGTGGGATTTGTTGACATGAACTATGTACTGTCTGAAAATGACCTCTCAATTTTTTATGCCAATCTTTTATTTTTTAAATTCTTGTTAAAAGGGAAATATGCCACTGTGTTGTGTTGTGTTTGTTTTTTAGATTAGCCATCTGCTGTTGATCCCTTTTTATATTTAGGTGCTGTCAGGGAGTGGAAAGCATTTCCAAGATGATGATTTCTTTTGTATTGAAGACTTGGTTTTTGTATTACGTAATCAAGGTTACAAAACCTTTTTTATAGAAAAGACAAGCTTTTCTTGGGGGGGGGGGGGGGTAAGCACTCATCAAAGGATGAAGGAAACAACAGAACTTGTTTTATTGGTACTTTTTTCTTTACTTAGATTCTTAACCATGGGTGGGGGGGGATGTTTCATGTTGAACATGCTAGTTGTGATTTTAAAGATAGTGTAACTTGCTTAAAGTTTCTTATGTGATATTAACAAATAAAAAGCTGTTTTAATATGACATGTCTTGTCTCCAAAATTTTAGGGAAAAAAGCTAATCAAAATACACTTCTTCACTGGGGAATAGGCTAGATATGATGAAATGTGGAATTTAATCATAGATCACTCCATAGCTGAAATATTATGGTCCTCAGCAATCTGAAAGCTTCTCTGTTCTTACTATGCTCAATTATCCTTTTAGAAATGTACTAGGTCAAAAATTTCTGTGTGTTTATATAGACTGCAAAAACTCAAATGAGGGTTTGGAATTGCAGCATTGTGTCTGTGGTTCTCTCCCTCTCCCTCTCCTGGAGGAGAGAGCCACAAACTTGGTATGAGTTGGTTAAATACTTAACCTAGCCTCCAACTATCTATTTTAATATCCGTGTTAATGAAATTGTTACTTGTGTTGTAAAATTCATGCAACTACTTTCTAATCTAGGTTGCTTCTTGACGACAGAGGGTTCAGCTGGTCTGAGCTATCCATATAAAAAGTTGTTTGCCATTTGAGCCTTTCAGAGTAATCATAAGTATTACTGCCAGCTTGTCTTGAAATATTCCTCCAATTATGATGAATGTACTCAATGCACTTATTTGAAGTCAAAGGTCCTATTTTATTTAACCACTCATCCCCTCTTTAGTGGTGAGTGCCTTATCTTTAACTGTTCCTGCTAGTTGCTTTCCCATGAATATTTCTGGCAGTTCTCACTGTCTGTTCTTATGATTAAAAATAATTGACTTAGCCTTCAAGTTTTCATTTGAATAAAGGACTACAAAGTTGCATACTCATAAGAACTCCTTGCAATACTGTGAACAACTTTTCTCATACCAGTTGAGCATTTCTTCTTAAAACTGGCCAGAATCAAGAAAACACAGGAGTAACCTGAGAGCAAAATCAACTAATGTTTCTCTTAAAAAGTCCCAAAATTTGGGTGAATTTGGAAAAAAAAATCAGTTTACAGTGTCGACTTTTTGTTAAACTATTCTGCCTGAATTAATTTTGATATCCTTACTGAATATTAATCAGTTTACAGTATCGACTTTTTGTTAAACTATTAATTTTGATATCCTTACTGAATATTACATAAATCTTTTTCTGTATTTTGACCAGGGGAGCTCATTGATCCCTGTTCATATTCTGTTTGTGGCTATCTTCTGAACACACCCTCTCATGTACTCTTTCCAAGTAGGAAGTGGCCATTTACATTCTTCATCTTTATTCTCCACTTAGGGTTTAAAGATGGTGGCAAAAACTAAACGAAGGCCAATTAAGGCCTACTCAGTATCAAAGTGGAATTCCATTCTCAATAGTGACTCTTACTAATGACTGAATTTCACATGTAGCCATCGACTCTGTTTGCAGAACATTTTCTTAATTTCAAGTTTGTAGAGTCTGTGTCAGGTGCATTCATGGAAAGGCCAATGTTAGATGAACAGGACTATAGTTAGCTTAGCTCACGGATAGGAGCTGGTATTTGGAAAATCTTTCTGTAGAGTTGAATGCTTTGCAGGTTTGTTGAATGCTCTGGTAAATCACTTTTGTGCTAAATGTCAATTTTTAAAATGCTGTCTTAAAATACCAAGTTTTTTCTTTGAACTAGGAGAGTACTAGTGATTATAAATGACCCTTCTGTGATCATGTGCTGCTAACCTTAACAATGAAACATCCTACCACAAGATGGGGGTCTTGTTACCAGAATGTGTTCTACAAGCTTTTACCACTGCCTTATGAGCTTCATAATGACTGACTTGTAAAAGTGTTTCATTCACTTTGATTGGACACGGTGAAATCAGCTTTTTTTAAAGCTTAGGAAGCAAGTTTAATTTATGCACACTGTAGTCTGTTTTTTAAAGAAGTTCTTTACTTACCATAATCAAAAACTTAGTTTTGACACCAGCGAGGTGGTTGCAGGGAAAGTCTCACATTTATATATACCCACTGCAACTTTTTTTATTTTGTGAAAAGTAATGATTCTTTTTCCCTCACACAGATGTTCCATGTATATCTTAGAATGGACTTGCATGAAAATGCATTCGACTACTTCTGTTGCTGAATTAGTCTTTTAACATGTGCGCTGATTTGGGTTAAAATGTACATGTACACCTAAGGTGATGTATTTAGTACAGGACTCTAATAATTGATTTAACTTCTGACACACTGCACAGCGTTGCATAGATTATGGTTCTTGGTACTATTTCTGAAACTTATTCTTAGATTGTTTAATTTCTGGCTTTCTATCAGACATGTTCCACTTGTGATGTGCGTAAATACATGGGTGATTTCTATTGCACAATGTTGATACTTTGTTCTCCAGTTTGTAACAAGTACAGTAAATCCTGTCCAAGGCTGACATTTCTCAACATCTCTAAGATTACCTACCAATATGAGGAACTATTCAGGGGTTTTAATTGTATATTCACATTATAATATTCTACTGGATTTGGGCTATATTAATGCAGCCTGGTTTCTAGACAAATAGAACAGCATTCCCTGTTAAATAGCAGCTGGTTTTACTTTTCAGAAATAAGGTTTATAGTTTAAGTTCTTTTTTTAGTCTTTGGTCAGTGGTTCTTGAGACAAGTTGCATGTTCTTATTGGTTGGTTCTATAACTTCTCTAAAACCAGTTACATTTGTTCTGTTTTCAGCAAAAATAATTAACCCTTTAGCCTTTATTTTTAATACGTTGGATGGGTACTAGTAAATCATAATAAAACCAAATATACCTGTGTATTCACTCCTGTTTCCACTTGATTTGCCTCCCAGCTAGGTGGAGAAGGAGGGAAACTGGTTAAACATGTATCTGAATTAGATTTGTTCAAGCATCTGAAATGTTCAGGCATAAGAAGGTTCAGAGAAAATAAGCCAGGATTGTTTTTCAGTGTGTGCCTGAAGGCAACATCCCAGCCATCATCCTGGATCCTGCCCTTCTATTCTGCAACATAATTTTTTTTTCTCGTGACCCTGGGCATCTGTAACCTCAGATTTCTGGGTCCCCTGTACTGTGGTGCAGGGCTATACTCTTCAGTTGGTTTCTACTCCTCCATCCCACTCTCCCCATCCCTCTTGAGGGGACCCCTCATGTGACTCTACTACAGAAGGAGGTACAGAGCTTGTTGCAGGTGGGAAACGTGTAAGACTACCCTTGGAAGTCCTGGGTTTTTTTTTTTTTTTCCTGAGATGTATCCTGTACCTGGGAGACCTCAAGTATCTCAGAAAGCTGAAGTTTCATATAGTGTCCCTGGCCTCCGTCATTGCCTCCCCTGATTCAAGAGACTAGTATGCCACCTTTGACTTAAAGGATGTGTATTTTCACTGATCTTTCAAAGACACAAATGCTTTCTCCACTTCATGGTGGGATCTATGCCTTACCAGTTTGAAGTGCTACCATTTGGCCTGGCAACCACATGGAGGGTATTTATGAAATGCATGAAGGTGTTGGGGCCTACGCCAGACGTTGGGGTATCGGTTCGTTAACCAGTTGATGTACCGACTCCAGCTATCACAATGCTGCTGTCCACATGTGAGAAGTTAGGTCTTCTGATAAATGAAGAAAAATAAACATTTGTTCCTGTATGAAAGATAGAGTTTATCGTGGCAGTCCTAGACTCCACTAGAGCAAGGGTATTGGTACTGTGAGACTGGTTCTAGAGGATCAGAGAAGTCATTGTTGGAGTCTCCACTTTGCCTCTCGTGATGGCCTGAGTCTGTTTGTGACCGCTGAGCCACATGGTGATACACATGTACGTCATCTGCCATGTAAGGCACCAAATGTGAGTGCTCCAACAATGGCTGGCTATGGTCTGCCCTATCCAGGGATCACCTGGACAGAGGGTCATCACCATACTGCCAGATGTGCTTAGCATGATAGTTAGCCTATGCCTGTAAGTCACTAATATCTGATGCTGTGGGCCTCATCTGAGCAGTGCACCACAGGGCAAGGGGGACACACAAGGTATGTGGTTTTCAGAAGAGCTCAAGTCACACATAAATATGTTAAATAGCTTGGGGCAGTTCAGGTGGTATGTGTAATGTTCCTCTCGCAGCTGTCCGGCCATGTTGGTTCAAGTGTTGATGGACGATATGGCCTCTGTTTTACATCAGCAGGCAAGAAGGAACATGCTCATCAGTCCTGTTTGGAGAAATGACATTTATGGGATTGCTGCATCTGTCATGTGGTGCCCTGAAGGCTTCTACTTTCTCCTCCTCACCGCATAAAAAACAAACAAGTGGATCACCTCAGCAGGTCTTTCTTTTCTCCCATAAGTGGTGGTTTCACTTGGGCTCCCTAAATGGTCCTGTTTGTCATGAGGCAGAATAGACCATGTCATCAGTTTTGCTCCCTGTGGGGTGTCAGATGTACTTTCTCAAATGCCTTTCTCTTATCCTGGTTGGGGGACTTGATGTTTGTATTCCCATCCATCCAGCTCATCAGTAGTGTCCTGTCAAAAATTGACACCCAAGGCCAGGGTTGTCATTATCACCTTGATGTGGCCACATCAGCATTGGTTTGGCATGCTGCAGGATCTGGTAGTAGTCCCTCAGTGAGCACTACCTGACCAACTGGACCTTCTCTATTGCAGGAACACAGTTGCCTCCTGCACCCCAATCTAACATCCCTCTACCTCACTGTATGGTTGAACCTGGAGGAGCAAGCTTGCTCCAGGGAGATACAACAGGTGCTACTGGACAATTGGAAGCCCTCTACTAGAATGACTTACCTGCCAAAGTGGATGAGATTTTTCCCTGTGGCTGTTGGAGTGTAATGTCTCCCCAGTGTGGTGCCTGTTAAATCAAAGGGTGGAAAGCTGTGATGGCTGTGAGATGGACTGCAGAGTGTGTTGGTGTTTTTCACACTAGATTTTGTCAGCTCTGTTCCTGAAAGGCCTCGAGAGGCTTTTTCCTCCTGCCAAAGATTCTGTCCCTCAATGAGACCTCAAACTGGTCCTCTCCAGACTCATGGAACCTGCTGTTCAAGTTGCTGGACTCTTGTTCCCTCGCTTGCTCACAATGAAAAGTCACC